ATGTTGCCCAGTTAATCCCAAAACTTTCACAATTTGCATTAACAATCTGTATATTACATTATTTCAAAGATATGACGTATAAAGTCAGGAAGATGGTTACCCTCAGTCACGTTGAGCAAAGAGCTCCGCTCCAAATACTGGAGAAGGAGGAAAGCTGAACGAGGTTCTGCACTGTGTCTCAAAACTTTGCCAGGTGAGATACAGCAGTATTAGCCCCAGATGTAGGGCTGTCTTGAAGAGGAGAACAACCTTTGAATTAATGGTGAAACTTCAGTCAATGTCTAAACAGATGGACTGCAGATTTTCTAGAGTTTGGAAAGGGGCATATATGAGATATGAAGAACTTAAAATTGTGAAAGCCAAAGTAATTAAATCTGATAAAGCATTGAACATAATTATTTATTTATTATTTATTTATTAGTCCAATTTATATGCCGCCCTTCTCCGTAGACTCAGGGTGGCTTACAATGCATTATAGCAATAGCCTGCATACTTTTTTGTATATACCTGCTTATTAGGGCTTTGCCCCCCACCACCACCAAGCGGTGTTGTTCTATACAAAGTTGGCTTATTGCCCCCACAATCCATGTCCTCAATTTACCTACCTCGAAAGGATGGAAGGCTGAGTCAACCTTGAGCCTGGTGAGATTTGAACTTACACTAATTGCAGGCAGCTGGCAGCTAAGTGTTAGCTAAGTGCTAGCACTTAACAGCACTTTAGTCCGCTGCACCACCGAGGCTCTTATTATTGCCATTTTCTATGAAACCAAAATTAAAACTAGAAGAAAAGGAACCACTTTTGTATTAACTTCGATAGATTGTAATAGGTTGAACTATGTAAAGTTCAAGGACAACTCACCAGAGACAACTGAAAAATAATGAATCTATCTTTGGATGTAGTTCTCTTGAATACTCAAAATGGAATAGTTTTGATTCTCTACTGTTAGTATTTTGTCTTTATTGAATACTGGATTTATTGGTTCTTTTTCTTTTGAAAGTTAGAAAAAAATCCTTGTTCTAAGCATCCTTCACTAACTTCAATTTATTTGAGCGTTTACTTTCTTGACACTGACTATACAGTTTTGGATTATCTGTCTGTACTTCTCTTCCCATTACTTTGTAGTTTTCATATGTTAATTAGGCGTTTTTGAGTAGTCACACTGGCTTCTTTTACTAGTTCTTATGTTTTGTGCTTTTAATGTTTCTTTTTTCCATAAATTTTATGAACTAATTTTCTTTGTCTTTTTTTTTCTTTGAATGGCTTAAGAGGTCTCATTTTAGTACTACTTATATTTTCTGCAATGCACAAGTGTTTATCTAAAATCTTTATCTTGGCTTTTTTTTGCTTCCATTCTGCAAAAGATTCATTTTAAAGCCCTCCTAATAAGGATATGCACTGGCCAAACACGATTACACCAGTCCATATATGATACAGCCCATCCTGTCTCAGCAGTCTGTTATATAGGTCAAAAAGACTGTTGTGCCAGACCCACATTTCTGTTTACAGCATCTGTGTAGCCAATTTAGTATTCTTTCTCTTTTCACTTATCTTCCATAGTTGGATGAGAATGCCCTGGGGTCTTGAGCTTTCTTCCAAGGTTATTAAATGTGATAGTCGCAGCTGTTCTTTGCAGTGTCATTTGTCCCCACCTGTATCAACAGGAAGAGATAATTATCAGTGAACTTGTTAAATCTTGAAAATTGTTTGGTCATGTCCACGAACCTGGGACACATCTCCCTTCGTGAGCTGATGAGTCCAGTCATCATCCATCTGTTTCCGTTGCTTTTAATAATGAAATACCAATAACCAGAGCTATTCTTGTCTGCTTGTGGGGCTGTGTCGCAGCTCCTGTCCTTGGGAGTTCATTGTTTTGTCTTCTGTATTGCAGAATTTGCAGTATTTCTTTTTCTTCGCTTCAACCCTCAGAGTCTACTACAAATCATAAGTGCATTTTCCATTTTATGCAAAAAGGGGATTCCTATAAGGGGTTTGCAGTCAGTCATAAATGTAGACATTATTTTTTCTCTTACCAAAGAGGTTAATTTAACCATCTCCACAAATTTCATCTTCACCATCCATTCCTCCATGGTAAGTAGTGCTGACATTTTCGACTTTTGAGCATATAATACATGTTTCCCTGAAAATAAGACCGGGTCTTATTTTCTTTTGACCTCTGAAAAAATGGCTAGGGCTTCTTTTCGTGGGTGTCTTAATTCCCCCCCCCCATGTACCTGTAGGTGGGGGGTGCGAGTGGCCCCTTGTGCCAGTTTCTCAAAGGGTCACAGCAGGCCATCCCACCATCCACAAAGCAGCTGCTTTGCAGGTGCCACTCAGGCCGCCGCCTCCAGCAAGTGTGGCCACTTTTGCAGCCACAAAAGTGGCAGGAGGCCCAACGATGCATCCCACACGGGCCCACACATGGGCCTCCTTGTTGCTTGCAGGGCAGACAGCACGAGGTGAGACGACGCTGAAGGGGTGGAAAGTGGGGAGGAACTTGACCCACATGCCCTTACCTAATGGTCGCACCGGCCATCCACCTGAAACAGCCTTGTGGCGGCTACTCCGAGAACCCTGCCCACAGCCACTTCTTTTGTGGCTGCAAAGACTGGGAGGCTGAACAACCCACCCCACATGCCTCGCGCTGCCTAAACTAACATTTGCACGAGCAATCCACAATTTTTTAAGCGGTGTTTATTTTGTCCCAATCCACGTGGTCCGGCGCAGCAAAGAAGAGCTGCCTTTTCTTTGCAAAAAAGGTCCCTCGTTGCAGGAGTTTTTGGATTCCGTGCTCTTGGCTGGGATATTTGGAACCTCCTCTTTCCAACTATCCCACTGAAACAAAAGTGACGTATACCTGTTTTTCACCCAGATGCTCATGGCAACATTGCCAGGGTGTCACATGGTCAACATTCAGTAGAGAGAGAGCACATTGCCGCCAGTCGAGGTTGGATTGGATCTCTCACACACAGACACAGACACAGACACAGACACAGACACAGACACACACACACACACACACACACACACACACACACACACACACACACACAAAGGTCCGTCACCCCCCCACCTCCTCCAAGGCAGCCACATCCTTCACTAACCTGCTTTTCAGCTCCATTCACCGCTGCATGTGTAGGGCAAGAAGTCCTTGGGATTACGGTAAAAAAAATATCATAGTTCAGACCTTTCAACTTCTCATGAAAAAAAAAAATCTCGCGAAGTTGGAAGGTCTCAACTATTTTTTTTACCGTAGTCCCACAGACTTCTTGCCCTGCACACGCAGTGGAGAACGGAGTAGAAAGCAGGTTAGTGAAGAGATGTGGCTGCCTTGGGGCTGTAGGGGGGGTGGTGAGGGACCTCTGTGTGTGTGTGTGTGTGTGTGTGTGCGTGTTTGTGTGTGAGAGAGAGGGTGGAGGAGGAGAGAGAGGGTGTCCTATGATCCCAAATAAAGAACGGTCTTGCAGACTGTTCCTTCTTTGGGATTGCAGCAAAGATGCACATCCCAGGATTGTAAGGCTGAAGCCTTCGGATGGAGCATTTTGGGGACATGCGTCTGTCCTGCGATCGCAAATAAAGAACCATTGGTAGGAAAATGTGTGTGTGGGGGATTTTCCTGTGTTATCCTGCGCAGGGAAGGTGGAGGTTTGTTCCTAAGCTACAACAGAGCGTTGCACTGAGAGGCCTCCATGGGTAATACCAGTACTGAATTGCATATCTTGCTCCAGTGAGAGGGGTACAGGCAGGGGGCTCGGCCATGGAAGATGGGGTTTTGGGGTGATCTCCCACTGCCTCCTGCTGCAGGACCGCCATGGAGGTTGTTCAGGATAGTGCGACTACTGGCGAAGGGGCCCTGGCAAGCGGGCGGTTGGGGAGGTGCTCTGGAGATCTGTGCCGAGTTGCCTGGCCCTCACTGGCTCAGCTGATCCGTGGGCCACAATTAAGGGTCCGAGCCGCCATGAGATGACTGAAGAAGGGAAGGGCTACCTCCTGTGCTGGCCACAACCACTCCTTCACTAGGGCTTATTTTTGGAGTAGGGCCTATTGTATTAGGCCCACCCCCCCAAATCAGGCTAGGGCTTATTTTCAGGGTAAGTCGTATTTTTGGGGAAACACAGTAGTCTTCCTATAGATGTCATGTATAAAAGCAAAGTGCCATTACTTTTTTTTTCTTACTGCTTTTCCATTAGTCCCCAAAGAAAAGTCTCTGATTTCAGTTGTACTTTAACTTATACTTCAGCAATGAATTTTGGTCAGGTTTCTTTCTTCTTTTTTGAGAGAGAGTGTTTAGGACCCTTAAGGATGGGAGTAGAAATTACTTGCTTCCAAGTTTCCTTTCCCATTGCCAGCCCTACAAGATAGACCAGCCCAACAAACAGACACCAAATGTGCCTAAAACTACTTTAAGATTGACTATAGCAACAGAATCTTCCAAAGTCTGAATGTGCTTTACTTCTTCCCTCCTTTATATATATATATATATATGTGAATTAGAAGTGAGTCTGGGATATTTTGGTAACTCTCCCTGCAATCTTGGCATTTCAAGCATTTTATTTATTGTCAAGTTGAAATCATACAAAGCAGTTTCAGAAGTAATTAATTAAACATTGATTGCAAGAGTATTATCAAACCTGCTCCTTTATATTTTAAATAGTGCTTGAGTTATACATGGCTATAAGGCTTTTAGTAGATTGAGGTATCATTACTTTTACTATGTCTTAAAAATGACATAGCTGAGTTACCTGCTGAGTTTTTTATATATATATTTATCTGTTTTTCAAATGTTTCTCTGATGGTTTGAAACCCAGTCGTTTCATTTCTTTACGCCCACACAGAGCTGCAGTAGTGAGACACTGTACAGTACTTGGAAAACCGAATTACAAGCAAGAGCCATTAAAAACTCTTCCCACGTCAAATGTGGGTAGAAACAGCCCTCTTCTTTCTTCCCTACCCAGAGCTCACCTAATGCCTCGTAACCTTTTGTGGATTGATGTTTTTACAGATTAAGAAAAAGAAAGCTGGAGAAAAAGATGATGATTCCGGATTACTCTTTTTCGTTGTTCCTCCTGTGCTGTCTCAAAGAACCCTAAAACTCCTCTTTGGCCTATGGACTTGGTCATCTAAAGGTTAGCAAAAGCTTCATTGATTTTAAAATTTAGAAATTTTAGTGAGAATCTGCAAGGAACAGGCTTTTTACTTCAGTAATTTCTGGCTACGATAATTGCTTGTACATAATTAAATTCCCTAAAAACCTGCAAAAGGGCTCTGTCATCAGGATCTTTAGTTTCTTTGGTTCAGCCACACATATGTTGAAATCTAGATTAAAATACTAGATATGGTCATAGAAAAGGCATATCTGTTGATGTTGGTATATAAACCATAGTCAGCCTGCATTTTTCTGGCACAAAGCACATTAGAATTATTTCTACCAATTTTATAGCAAATCCCTTTAAAACACATTTTTCTGCAGCTTGTTATGGAAAAGCAGAATAGTATCTTTCCTTTCCCACTGACAGTACTGATAAAAATTTAATTTTCTGCAAAATAATTCATATTGTACTTCTGTTATATGATTTACCTTAGGTGAAAAAGGAAAGTATATTCATATTAAAATGATAGTATCTTAAGGAAATTTTTATTTATTATGTATAATGCAAAGACTTGTTTTTCTTATAACAGTTTTTGTAATATTTTAGCTTTGCAAAAATATGACAGGAAATCTAAATTGTCTTGTATGTGTAAATGAGTAAGAGATGCTTGTTTCTTTTGCTTTGGAATCTAAGGAGCTTTAAAGTTTGTTCTAGAACTCTCAGTATTAATCATAATAATTTGGCCTCTCATGTTATAATGCACTATAAAATGGCTTTTATTATTTAGCAGAATATAATGTGCAAAGATGCATCAAGTAAAGTACTCATGTTCAATATAGGTAATGACCTGTGACAATAAAAACACCCATAAAATGTTAATTATTCTTCAGCACCCAAAAAAACCCGCTAGCCACATGTTTTATAAGCTTTCTTAAGCCTTGCTATTTTATTATAGGGGTAATTAACTTTTAGCCTTCCACATGTTGTTGAATTAAAGCCAGATGTTCTTGGCCATGTTAGTTTTGGCTGCATATTTGGAGGGCCACAGGTACTATAACACTGTTTTCTAGTTACATAATTCTATGTAACTAACTATCCGGAGTGAATTTTTTGTAAGATAGATTCTTCGAAAGTTATTAGTATTTCCAAAAATATATGTAGTTTATGCCCAAATGACTTAGACAAAAAGTCATTTTTTTTCTTTCTTGTAACTTCTTTGTTTCTCCTCTCCCATTGTGTTGCATTTGTATTTGTTTGTGTTTCTCTGTGTACTGGGAAACACAGGCTAAGTTGCATGTACTTCACTCTAAGTCAGCAGTCACCAACTGGTGGTCCGTGGACCACTGGTGGTCCGTGAGAAAATTCTGGTAGTCCGCAGAAAAATTATTTGCATTTTTTAAATATTGCACTAAATCGGGATCCTCATACTATAGCCCCTGGGCCAGATACATGCAATGAACATTTGTGTTGCTGCAGAGAGCCTCCCCCTTCGGGGTCTTTTTGTGCAGGTTGGAGGGGGGCAGAAATTCCAACTTGGGGTCTGCTTCAGCCTCCTGGTGCAGGACTTTGGGCAATGGCTGGAAGGAAGTGCAACTGGTGGCAAGGAGCCAGAGGGCCATGTTCCAGTGGGACTGCATCATGGCCTGGAACTGGCTGATCATGTCAGCCCGCTGATCCTCCAGGCGCCGGTACCTGGCCTTGCACTCCTGCAGGTCTTCCTTCTGCTTGGAAAGCCTGTGGTTGTAGTCCTCACTGAGTTCCTTCTGCTGAGCCTCCCTCTTGGTCAGATACAATTTGAACTGAGCCAGCTGTTTTCCCAACTGTTTCTCATGGTGGCTGCTTAGCTCTAACAACTGCTTCCTGTTGGGGCCCTAAGGAACCTGGGTGGGCAGGGGAGGAGTGGATGGCAGGAGAGGGGTGAGTAGAGGCTGGTGAGATGCCCTTGATGTAAGTGACATTGAGTTGGCCATCAAGTTGGCCATGCTCACCCAGTCACATAACCACCTAGCCACGCCCACCCAGCCAGTCATTAGGCAGATCATATTAGTGGTCCGTGGGATTTAAAATTATGAATTTAGTGGTCCCTGTGGTCCGAAAGGTTGGGGACCCCTGCTGTAGGTCACTGAGAGGGGGGGGAGGCAGGGAGGGAGAGAGAGAGAATGGAGCAATTGGTAGTAATTTTTCAGTAAGTGTGTTATTTCTAGGCTAATTATCTGGTTATTGCTTTGTATATAGGCTTAACATCCGCCACAAAAAAGGTCAGAAACTTGGGCACAGTCACGTGGTAAACCATTCATGACCTATGATTGTAATTCTGGGCTCAGTTATAGTCATAAATTGATTACCTACAGTGAAATATTTGAGTGAAGGCTTGTTAGTGCCTTCATTTTTAAAAGCTGAAATATTTGGGAGAATAATTGAGCATAGTTAAATTACTTGTTTTTCTTACAATGTAGTATTTTACTCAAATGGAAGCTTCTCTGGGACGTATTCAAAGAGAAAGCAAATGTTAACTATGATGATATTTCATACTGAGAATAAGTTGCTGTCCTAATTAAACATTCACAAATCTGCTACTCTGATTTCGTGTTTTAGTATCCTAAACATCTCTGCATCCCTTGTGAAATATATTTGTTCAATTTGGACAAGTATTCCTGAGGTTGGAGCAAAGAGGACTTCTCTTAGAAGTTCTGTGGTACCTGCACCCACTTTAAATCATGTTTGAAATGCTAATGCTAACTAGTATGAGAAACCAAATTTGTTGAATTTCCAACTCTCAGTGACCAAAATCTCTCAGCAGACTACAGGTAGTCCTCAACTGACTAGAATTGAGCCCAAAATGTCTTTTGCTAAGTAAGACAGTTAAGTGGAATTTGCCTCATATTTATGATCTTTCTTGCCACAATTGATAAGTGAATCACTGCAGTTGTTAAGTTAGTTACACGGTTGTTAAGTGGATCCAGCTTTCCCATTGACTTTGCTGGTCAGAAGGTCACAAAAAGTGATCACATGACCCTGGGACACTGCAACTGTTATTAATATGTCAGTTGGGAAACAGTTGAATTTTGATCAGATGGCTATGGGAGAATGCTGCAAAGGTCATAAGTGTGAAAAATGGTCATAAATTGTTTTTTTTCAGTGCTGTTATAACTTTGAATGGTCACTAAATGAACTGTTATAAGTCGAGGACTGCTTATATCAGTTTGGGTTATGGATAACCACAGGATTTTGCTAATAGCAAAAGAAAAATATGGTTTTTTTTATATTTTTGCTTTTGATGTAAGTTTTGCATAAAAATGGCGTCCAGCGATCACAGGAACAAATATTAATTTGCAAGAAACCAGATATTTAATATTATTTCTATTGAGTTATACTTTAATAAAACAACTTTTAGCATAAACCAGGCATATTAACACAATCAAAACATCGATCTTGATTTCTTCATATGTTTTAAACGTAACTTCATGAATGCCAAGTATGACTCAGTGTGCTACTTCAGGGTTCTTGTTTCTGGTATCACCCAATTCTTGAATGATTTTTTTAAACAGGAAAGTAGCAGACATCAGTCTGAAAAAATATCAGTCAAATTAAAAAAAAGTGTATTGGGAAAAGACAAATACCCAAATCCCATTTCAAGTAGATGATTAGAAATCTTAATGATACTGTTGGTGTTAAAGGCAGAAGGATGTTCATTTTGGGTTTTTAAGCGCTTGTGTTATTTCTCTCCCTGTAAGCATGGAGATAGATAAACAGATATTCATGTATATACTATTTGGAATGGCGTTCATTAATGCTTTCATTCTATTCTTGCTTCCTGCTGAATTGTGAGACCAATTTGTAGTTACTGAAAATCCTTACGAATTAATGTTTTCCGTTACCATAATTTTATTTTTTTATTTAGTTTGTCAAACATGTACGAGATAACAGGTATAAGTATAAACATGGACATGAGCACAGGTAATGAGTACAAATAATTGGTGACAGTGAGACAGGGACGGTAGGCACGCTATGCTTAGGTCAGACCGTAGGCGGCGTAATTCTAGGTTGTCCAAGCCCAAAATTTCAAGCCTGGTGTGGCATAAGATATATTGTGAACAGAGGAGTAGAGTACTCTTCTTGTGAAATACATCTGGACCCGCTCAACTGTATTAATGTCCGATATACACTGTGGATTCCAGGCAGATGAGCTGTATTCGAGAATTCGTCTGGCAAAGGTTTTGTATGCCCTAGTTTGCAGTTTGATATTATCGGAGAAGAAGCTTCGATAATCAACAATAATCACCAATAAAATTTCTATTTAGTCTCAAGCTGCTTCATTAAGACTGTGTTGTGATATAAAAGTATTTATGTCTTTTTTGCCTTGCATCACTACACTGTATTGAAGGACACTCGAGTATACTGAAACTATTCAATCAAATAGTGCTTCTAGATTGGTGTTGTGGAAAATACATATGCTTTACTCAACTTCAGGGAAGAAGTGAAAGTAGATCAGCTTTGCCCTGTACCAGGATAATATGGGCAAATTGTATGCATTTGGTTAATATGTGTTAGCAGTCAACAGAACAAAAGGCTTCCTGCATCAAAGGAAACATTTAAATTCTTAGTACGGTCAGACCTGTTCGTGGATTTTTAATTTATATTTTGGTACATTTCTAGTGAAGGCCCACTCTTGAAAGTTTTTTTTTAAATATTCACATTTTCTTACCAAAGCTGTGATATCTTGTTATTATCACCTCCTCCCTGCAAATACCAATTTCAGCATTGTATTAAATCTGATAAATCCCTTCTTTTCGGAAAATTGAAATTAAAGTAGAAAATCTGCTCTTCGTAGAACAAGTTAGATTGGTAGTATCTTTATTAATTTAATTTGCATGTAAATAAATTTCAATACCTATTTGCTGATCCTTCATTATACACAGCCATGGAGCTTGCAGAATAAATGTATATGTAAGATATAATTTATATATTTAAAAGTGGTGATATTGATTTGAAATAAAATGTTTAAATGTTATAGTTTATACTAATCATGGTCATAG